AAGTAGTAGAAGTAGTAGAAGTAGTAGAAGTAGTAGAAGTAGTAGAAGTAGTAGAAGTAGTAGAAGTAGTAGAAGTATTAAGATAGAGGCTACTGTGATCCTACTCTATTCCCCTATATCTACGATTCTAATTGCTGGATTTGGCATTGTCTACGAGCTCTGCATCACTTTGGATACCTTCCGCCCAACTTCGCAGCTGAGCAAAAACATCTTCGCTCCAGATTCCACTTTCCGCTTCATAATGAATATTCCCTTCACCACCACCATGATCCAACAAATCCTCTAATTTAGCAACGCCGCTAATGGCCATGATACGGTGTAACTCCCGGCATAGCTGCAAGTGCTCGAAACTTGGAACACGTGCAAGGTTGTGCCGTAAGAACAAACGTTTGCCCCGTCTTAATTGGTTAACCGAGTGCGTTGTTCTGTGGTGGCTTTTGCAGAGCCTTCCGCCGTACAAGATGATAATGCTTTGGCCACACGCAAGCATACATGATTAAAGCAGAAACTTGAGGACGGTATAGAGGGTTCAGACAGGGCTCGCTTTACTATTTACTAGTGCTTCAATAAGCTTAAGACATCATCCGACTATATGTACATTGGGAGCAAAGACTCCTCCGCGAAATCGACCTTACGCGGATTAAGGTTCTCGATGCTCATGCGGATGGATGTACACATACATGCTAGGCTTTGTACCTAATTTACAGTGAGATCCACAACAGCCACTAGAGGCCGCCGACAACGCCATGCTCAAAAGTTTGACTCATGATTCATGACGAAACAATGCAAAAAAAATAGTAAAATTTAATGCCGTAGCGAGGAATCGAACCTCGATTTTCAGTGTTTCCTAGCCACAAACTGATGTACTAACCATTATACTACTACGGCTTTGAATTGATGAAAGGTGATGCGAAATATTGTTTTATAAAGGTATGCCCTAGTCCGGGAGCTGCAACGGCAGCCAGGATGCAGGATTCTGAACTCGAATAAAGCTGTCCTATAACACAAAATAAATGAATAGGCTCATGGAACCGGTAAACCACGATATGATTGCTTCTTGAAAAGAGATGTAATTCGCTTTCACATTCAAGTCGCCATTAATGGCCGCTGGACGACCGCCACTGATAATCTGACTTGCATACCTGAAAGCGTCTTCGTCTTGCGTTTGACATCCATCACTCACTGTAAAATTTGGGGCATCTCTTAGACAAATGCTGTACTCAAAGAAGAAGCTTAAACAGCTGATCCGGAAAAGCACTCGCTCCATGGCTGTCCGCTAGGACTGAAGTAGCAGCAGAAAGTCGATGGTCGCTTTAGCGTCATGTAGTTCCCTCAATCCGGCAATAATAGTGTAAATGCCATCGTACTCTAGGCACCCTACCCCTCCATCATAACTTATCTACTTACCTATTTAAAAGATTATTGAGATCACAATCTCTTAAACTCTACATGCTAATTCAAAATGATTCGCTGGATCTCATCTACAGCGCTGCTTATAGTGCCTGCGAGCGTCTACGCTCATCAATTCGCGGCGTATGGTGGTAACCAGATCCCCTTCTGGGCTCACACCGACACTGCCGTTGACGAGATTGACTTGTCAACGTATGACTTCTCGGGCACGGGCACTTATGCACATGTCCCATATGAAAACTGCTTTGTCGAAGACGCCTCTTCGAAACCTTTTGACATTGCCATTTTGGGCGCACCGTTTGATACTGTTCGTATAAGCCAGCCTCAGACTATCTCTGAATGTTGTCTTGGACTAACTAATTGGGCCCAGGCTGTTACTGCACGGCCGGGTGCGAGATTTGGGCCAAATGCTATCCGAAGTGCCAGCCAGCGGAAGGCATACGGATATAGCATCTACACGGGTGAGGAGTCTTGATTAAACAGTCGTGTCTATATAGGCTGCTCACCATTGACAATTAGGTCGTGATCCCGTCCATGATTGGGCCCGGGTTGTTGACTGTTTTGACGCCCCGTTGACGTGGCTTGACAACCGTGCTGCACTCAAGACGCTTGATCAGGCTCACAGGATCATATCTGGGCGATCAACTGCCCACCCCGATGAATCAACCATTCCAAGAATCATAACCTTGGGAGGGGACCACACAACGACTCTCTCTGCGTTGCGCTCCACGCATAAGCGATGGGGACCAGTTTCAGTGATTCACTTTGACAGCCATATCGGTGAGATCAAGGCTCTCCTCGGCGATGATTGACTGGATTGCTAACTTTGGACACAGACACGTGGGATCCAGCGGTTCTAGGTATGGAGTGCCCTGAGGCCCGATTGATAAATAGATAATCTCGTACTAACTTTGACAAAGGCGGTGGCATATCAGATTATGCGTAAGGCGTGATGTGAGCCTGGTATACCAATTTTACTAATATTTGTCTAGAGGTCTAAACCATGGCACATTTTTACACATAGCTCATGAAGAAGTACGTTTTTTTATGACCGTCATGCCGACGATGTTGACATTTCCTTCACAGGGACTTATTCTCAATTCCTCAATCCATGCTGGTATCCGCGCCCCCTTGACCCGTCGAAAGGCCGATATCCGAAACGATGTACGATGTGGGTTCGAGATTATCACAGCTCGGGAGATTGACACCAATGGAACCAGAGCCATAATTGACAGAATCCGAGAACGGGTTGGTGATACCAATACTTATATCAGCGTTGACATTGATGTATTGGACTTGGCGTTTGCGCCCGGTAAGCCTTTTCATTTACCTAGGATATGTATCCCAACTGTAGACTCTGATTGCTGATGGAGGGGTTTGGATGATGTATAGCAACTGGCACTCCAGAGCCGGGCGGCTGGAGCACCCGCGAGCTGCTCACCATTCTAGCTGGGCTGGAAGGTTTGAACATCATTGGTGGTGATGTAGTGGAAGTAGCACCAGCATATGACGATAACGGCGAGATTACTGCAATTGCGGCTGTAGAAGTCGCACATGCTATTCTTGAGCTGCTGATTGCAAAGGCGGTCAAGGCGCCTGATAATGCATGAGGGACCGTAACACAAGGTAGGCTGTTGAGTTGTATATGAATGTATATTAATGTATATGGATATTCCATGTAGTTTATCCAAGGGAGATTTATATATTCCGCTCTGGTATATTCGCACTTTTCATCGAAGACAAGTGAAGTCAATAGGTAGATATTGAGCCTTATTTCTTCAAAATTCTCTTCTTTACCGCGTCTCTCTCTGCCTGATTCCAGTTTGTATTTCCCACCCAAATTCATGTGGAGAGTAGTAATGGCCATGCATCTAGCCGTGATACCAGCCCCTGTGCTACCGCGTGATCATGAGGGCAGATATGGGGTATGGTCACGTATAAAAACTCCCGTAGGCTCTTCCTCTTGTTTTTTACTTCTTTCCCTCTTTTCTTTCCTAGCCCTCGCGAGGTACGTCTCATGACTTGCGATAAGGTGCCAAATTTATACATCACCAACAAATTCAATCAACCGCAAGCTGCTCAAGAAATGCCAATGGAAAGATGCTATGACCTCGAGCGTTGACACTATCATGTCGAACGATGACACTATGGCGGTGTTGGCATAGTTTATCACATGGTGAGACTCTCAACATTCATTGATCGATACGTAGTTGCTGATGTGTCCAAATCAATCAAGGTTTACAGATTAGATATGCCTATCAATGGTGTGGCGTGCCCTGGGAGTGCTACACGTGCGGTGACCATTGTTGGAATTTGGATAGCATATCACAACAGGGTTGTTCTTGTCTACCCCAACACGTACAATGTCTCTCTCGTCACCTCTTGACGGTTTAATGCTGGCTCTATCCTTGCAAGGGATGAGCACTATCATACCGAAAATAGAGCACGCAAGAGATAAATCGCCGACCCCTATAAGCTGACGCCACTGCGATCGTCAGAATGGTCGCCGGTTGCAACAGCCATAGCCTGTGCATACAGGCTGATGACCTCATATCCGGACCAGTTCCCAGACAATGATCTACTTGACGACTCCCCAAAGGGGACGCGAAATAGGATGCGAGAGGCACATATATTCCAATTTTTACGGAACGCCATCGCCCTATCATTTCAAAATAACCTTATTTTAAGCCAGCTCCCAAGCCAATTGGTGGATATCAGGATTTTTTCCTCGATTAAGAAGGAACTTCTGAATGTCTCTGAGCCAGTATTAACAGTTGACGGCACTTCTTCCGATGCATGGAATCCGGCGGTGAGCATGAAGCCATTGGAAGGCGGACAGGAGCTGAAGAATGTCTCGAATGATTTGCGAGAAGATATGTACACACAATCGGATTTCGATCAAAGGACGTCATCGTTGATTACATAGTCCAGCTTCAGGGCGATATATTGCGACGATTACTGCTAGGAATTTCACCACAAACAAACGACCAATATGACTTGTGAGGGATCACGATGGGATCACAAACGAAAGGCGAAATGAACAAGGAGAACAATCTAGACTCAGTTCCCTGCACTGATGACGCCTGGGGTGGCAACCCGCAGAATGGCGGTTAACGCCAATGAGTTCACGCTCACTGACGAACAGTTGAGACGGCTCGCAAGGGTTACTAATGTCGCGGATGAGCACATGAAGAGGCCAAAATAGAAAAGGATAAAGACTTTCAGAAAAACATGGGGAAACCGCTGAGAGAACTCGAGACTTCCCAAAACAAGCACTGATTGTCTGGACTGCACCTCAAAACACGCAAGTGGAGATGCAGTTCTCCGACTCTATGCACAGCTGCCTGAAGACAGAATCGTTCGAGTAGACTGAAGCAGAGCAGATGGAACATATAGATCTTATTGCAAAAAAAGCATACATCATCGAACCATCTGCCATTGACAAGCCAGGCAATCATAGGCTTTACTTTACAAGGATTCTAGCAAATCGCCACCGTGGGCTAATTTCGACATGCGCTCCTCAAACTATTATGCAAAAGCAGACCGTTCTTATCGCGGCAGGCTCCTGAGGCGATGGCTACTTGCTTCGGGAGACACGCAATAGTGACGCTTCGCGCTGCGCAAGAACGCTAGCTCTGTTTCTCCATCGCTCATACGGAACACAAGAACAGGCAGACTCCGTCCAATGCCTCTCATATAGCGGACTGGTTTGACAGCGATCAGAACGTGCTACGTGTATCGAACGAAGCCGGAGAGTCGCTGCGTGTCTTATCCGGCGGTTGACTTCTTGCCCATGACCCTATCCACAGCAGAGCTCAGTTATGATCTGATAAGGAGGATAAATGTTAAGAAGCATGGACGCATGCCAGCCACCAACTCGTTCTATAAACCAGCTGCTGCAAACGCCGAGGCTACACAATCTGACCAGGAAGTGAGCTGTATGTGTTGTTTCGGAGGAAAGCAAGACAGTCTCCTGATTTGGTATAAACACATCTGCAAGGTGCTAACTACCAATCTTCTTGTCATTCTCTTGCCTTGAACCTAGCCTTATCCATCATTCCTACGTCTCAAGCTCAATTGTCCAATACCCACCTGCTTTCTGGAATCGCATCTCGACGTTCCCACCATCCCTTCGCAAGGTAGCAGAAGATGTAAAAAGCTGCATGAACGCGCAGCTCATTCAAGGTGCACCATCATCATGGTCCCTGATCTTCCCTACCTCCACAAACTGGGAATCTCGCTGGGCATATTTCCAATCAGCCCAAGTCAAGCGAAACCCCTTCGGAGACCTCACGAGGCAGTGCCGAGACGGTAATAATAACGACCTTGATTTCGATAATATTACGCTTCCCACTGAAAGACCCCTGTCCGAATATAAAACCGCATATACCTTTGTGTCGCGTGAAGAACGGACAGTATCTCTGATCGCCGGATCCGTTGATGAAGCTACCTGGCAACTCAAACAAGCCATAGCCTAC